TATCAAAATGAATGGAAAGAGTAACACAACTGGGACATAAAAACTGCATGTGTAGTCCAATCTGATGAAACTTTTGAAAAGGTTTGGTGACTTTGCCCCAAAATATGGTTTAAGAAGCCTTTTTTCCCACATGAGCACAGTTTCATGACAACAAGCCCTGATTATACTCTGGGAAACACATGCAAAGTTGGGGACACCCACGGATATGTAGTTGCTGTTATTTAACTACTTTTCTACTCTGTGAAAGTCCTTCTTGTAGCGTAGTCGCTGTGCGGATTCAAATTTTGTAAATGTCCACAGAGGGGTCCTGACGGATTTGGCGAGATGGCAAAATTTACGTCGCACAGACCCTCACATACTTGGAAAGTATAACCCCAACCTTTGACAGTTATAATAATCTTGTGTTATGCGACCGCCAACCGCTGAAGCTACTTTCAAAACTGTAATGTATACACAGTTGAAACACACAGCTTGAGCTCATTCAGGCCTGTTGAGGTTCGCCAGAAAAAAACGGTTGGATACTCTGCCTTGTAGAGTTATTATTTACGGAGCCCCGGAAGGGACATGGAGAAAGAAAAAGACAAAAACAGGGAGAGGGGGGAAAAAAAAATAGAGGTATCTTTTGCGAGATCTCAAGAAAGTCACATCAATCTTACTGGACGTTTTATGGAAACTGTGGCTCTTGCTAGCACTGCTTGAATGTCTTTATATTTTTGGTTGATTTCAAAATAAAACTCAATAAAACTTGTACAGGTGGGTGTCCTCCATTGTCGTTTGTCCACACTGCCAAAAAGACCCAAAACTATATACACCATCGAGGTGCTCCCTACATAGTTCACTATATAGTGGTCCCTATATAATGAGTAGGGACTGAGTGGATGATTTCGGACACAACCCCATAGTTTTGCAAAAATTATTACGAGATCCCAAGAAAAATTTGCCTGATACAATCACCACAACAGATAGCTGGACTCTTCTCCTCTGTGGTTCCCCAGTGGTGGAATGACTTGCCAAACTCTGTTCAATCTGCTGACTCCCCCTCAGTCTTTAAGAAAATACTAAAGACCAGCTCTTCACTGAACACCTTTGCACTTGACAGCCTGAAAACAAACAAAATAAATCCATCCTATTACCTCCCACACAGCCTGCTACTGGCGTCAACGCCCTATCACACTTGTTCTATGGCACTTATCTAGATTGTTTTCTCCGGACTAGATCCTTGCTTGTGTTGTATCTGCTCTCGGACATACGTCGCTTTTGCTTTAATGAAGTTGTAGAATTGTAGATCTCGCAAAAGCTACCTCTATTTTTTTTTTCCTCTTTCTGTTTTGCTTTTCTTTCTCCATGTCCCTTCCGGGGCTCCGTAGTTATTCATGTTCTAACTAATGGATCAAAAAACATTCTAACTTATTGTATTGTGAACACAAAAAGGTTGAAGACTGACTGTATAAATATGAGAGTAATGGAAAGTAGTCGTAGTATTATTGTGGTTTCTCTTTATAGCACTTATTGTACATGTTGAGTGGAGGCCTGTGGTTTTCCAGAGGGAGAGTCTCTGGGTCAGACTCTGTTTGTATACAAAACCACGTCACAGTGAGTAAAACGAGTCTCCGCCCCCTGACTCCTCCTCCCCACCGCCTCCTCTTCCCTCTTGTCTCCTTCTCCAGGCTGATGCAATGCTCATCTATAAAGGGTGAGTCCCCACCCCTCCTCCAGCAGAATAGGGTCTTCTCTCCGAGCGCGCCGCATCTCTGGGATTTTGATTGAATTAGTCAATAAATCGAAATTCTTTTTTGCTTTTACGCGTCTCTCGGTTTTATTCTAAGACTATCTTATTCTTCTTTTTTTGCCACTTGAACCTTTTCAGTGTCTGTTTTAAATCAGATCCTGTCTTCTAATAGACTATCAATTCATTTTCTATTCATATAACAAATAACCCAAATATTCTTAAGGATCAGAAGATTTTTTTTGTGAAGAAATCGTCCGGACGGTTGCTGTTTCTTTTGTCACTGAAGGGATTTTACAGGCATCCTGCCACATCTTCACAAGGTAAGACTACCGGCATGTTCTCATGTGCTGTCTGTCTGTTAGGAAAATTACCGGGTGTGATCGGCCCAGTGCTTGAACAAGAACTCAAGATGTCAACATTTAACACGTCTTGGCTTTCTGTCTATACATCATCACATCATCTGCTGTCTTTATCTTATAGTTTGAATCACATTTAATCCAAAATAGATTTATTACCGCCTCTTATGAGCCAATTAATCTGGAATAAAATGGTTTATTGCCATATCACATGTATACATCTTATTCTAAAGAGCCAAAAATGTCTTCTCTAAAAAGCTGGAGGCGTTTTTTTGTTGATTTTTTTCCTTACCAGGTCAGAAAGCCTGGTCCAAATAAATAAATAATGAAGCAGTGTGACAGTGATGCTGCAGTGCTGGACTCCGTGACTGGAGGTGGTACAAGATTGTCACTGGCACACAAACCAGCAAACACATTCTGGTTGAAAAGGGAAAACGTGTCAGAGTGTTTCTGTGTGTGTCCTCATTTTTAATAAGCCTCCATACATCAGCCGGGTTTGAATGAGAGCGCAAGCCTCTGCGCAAAATGGAGAGCCATGCCCATAAAGGGACAACACGTGCCATTGTTTCCACTGGAGCCGGCAATGGAAATAATGTCATTAAATGGATCTGGCGTTGCGCCTTTCGGGCTCTGCGTGGCTCTCCATGTGAGTCATATTCATCCAAGGAAAAAAGTGTGAATATTTAAGGATGCCAAATTTAGAGAAACCTGAAAACATGAAGCTTTATTGTCACCTCTTTAACTTTAAAGAATGTGTTGTGTCCAGAAAAAAAGACGCAGACACACCCTGATTTCATTTCACTTTTCAAATGATTTCGGAGGGAAATGTGCGCAAAGTCAGCGGCGCGTACTGCGGTTTTTTTTTTTTTTTTTTTGTCATTCAGCATCTACAGTGGAGCTGAGGTGATGTCGGGTGGACGCGGATGCCGGTCTGGTATTTTTCCACTGCCGGTGCGTCACCCCCCTCCCTCCTCCCTCTCCTCTCCTCTTCCTCCTTCGCCTCCTCCTCCCCGCGTTGAAGCGAAGTCACATGATCTCGGATTCAAGCTGAGGGCTGCGGTGCGCGCGCCTGCTCACTATAATATTGATCATTCTTGAGCGTGAACGCGCACGGCTAGAAATAAAGATGCTGGGGCGAGATGGAGATGACGCAGGAGGCAGAGACATGAAACACAGTTAAATAACAGTAGTATTAAAAAAATGCATCTGCTCTTTTTTTTTTTTTAGTTCCAACATGGCCAGTGAGAAACAACCCACTGCCAGAACTGAGATGAAATGTTTAAACGCTGCGCATGACGACGACAGCAGCAGCTCCAACAGCAATGAATACCCTTATCCAGACTATGTGAAGAAGGTCCCGCTGGACAGGTACTGCTCATTTACAAATATGTCTAAACATGGTGGGAAAAAAATACCTTCACATGAATGGCACTGACTTCTTCTTTTTTTATTTCCTTCTAAAGCCAATACCCTGATCTGGACGCAGAGAACCAAAACTTCCTCCCTGAACATAACCTGGGCAAGAAGAAGTATGAAACTGAATATGTAAGAGCTTCTCATGTCTCCCAGCACATTGATCTGCTTCAGTCTGTTATGCGATGTGGAATTTTTTCCTCATCTCCTAACTCCAGTGTTTTGTCACACAGCATCAGGGCAACGCCTCCTTTGGCATGTCTGTCTTCAATCTGGGCAACGCCATCATGGGCAGTGGCATCCTGGGTCTGTCCTACGCCATGGCCAACACCGGCATCGCCCTCTTTGTGTAAGTATCTGTTCCATCACATCAAGTATTAATTAGGTTTTTTTTTGAGATGTGTTGAAAAAAAAAAAGTGCAAAAGCAGCCTTCACACATCAAAGGAAGGCAGATCATGAAGCAGCTACACAGTCATTTCAGAGGGCGAGCTGCAAAGCACGCAGAGAAAGCAAAACTCAATGCGGGTGGCTTTTGTTTCTTAATCCAGATCAAGCCGAGGCAGGTGTGGTTGTGTCTGTTGCATCAAGGTCACAGATCGTGATGTACGAGGCGAGGTTTTCCCGCCAGCAGAGACTGTTGATTCAGCAGCAGGTCGACCCTGAGGGGGAGGCAGATTACACGGGGGTCGAAAGTTTGCTCCAGAACAGTTTAAGTACTCACTATCGTGTTTGCTGTAGATAAAAGTATGGAGAGAAAGTTCTTTTATAGAGAAGAAAATTAAACAAATAGTTCTTCTCAGGGCAAATTGGAAGGTTCTGTGAGAGTGCCCCCTGCTGGTTGATCAGTGTAAAAGAGTAGCTGCTATTTTTGCTTGAATTTTTGCAGCTTATGTGAACAACTTAAGCCATTTTAGCTTATTTGAGTGCTGGATTTCTTCATTTTCCTTCCTCTAACTCAGTTTTTCCTGTCTCACACGAGACATAATGCCTTAAGAGGCCAAAGGTTTTACTACCACTCAGGCAGCATCTGGTAGGACTGATCCTCAATCAGCTTAGCGTCTCAGAGATACAACCTGAAGCTGTGAAAAGGCAGAAACCAGTGAGAAAACACCAGTACCAATGTAATAATGGGGAAAAAGATCAGAATATGGTAGAATGTAAATGTATGCTGCATAGTAAGTCTCTAGACACGGGTGCCACCAAACGGCAGTTGTGCGTCACTTTACAAACGCAGGGAGTGGCAGGAGAAGCAGCTTAGACAAGCTAATCCCGCTGCATTAGGGCCAGAGTTATGCAAACGGAGAGATAATGTATGCTCACATGAGATCATGAATGGAACAGAGCGTGGTTCTCTCTCAGCCGGTACCTGACCTATCTGAGCCCTGCATCTGCAGGAAGAAGGGGATTACAAAAATCGGACAGCTGACGTAGATGGGAGTGTTTCTAGCTGCTCTCGCTCACCGACTAACACATGATATCTATGATTTAACGTCTGTTTGCATTTCGAAACATAGTCTGGTGTTATTAGCCAGCCTCTTCCAGAACAAACTGACTCCCCATAAAAGGTCGTCGAAAACGTATATTTGCTGAGCTGCAGTGTGTAAAGCGATAAGATAAAAAAGACTCAGCATGTCACAGGCAGGCAAGTGGCCACCGAAGCAGCTGGACGGTCCCATGCTGAGAGGAAACGTCTTTGCAGGACGAGTCTCAGATGGTCAGGAGATTCATTTCCACCTGCACTATTAATACCTCTGGACACACAGTGCTGCCTCTGCAGCATCACAGGGCGTTAAGAGGATCCCGCACAGGGAAACCTTTCGTCCTTTGCTGATGCTGCTTGTGACTCAAAGAACCTGCAGACTGATGCTGCCTTCAAGGTCTTTGCTGATCAGGCTCACAAAATGGGAGAAAATGCAGGTTTTCGCTCTGGTGGATGATTTTCCTACTTCTGAAAATCTGCAGACTCTTCCGTATCAAAGGCAACAAACTGCTGACTCTTTGATACGAGGAGCAGTTTTGTGACAGATGTTCTTAAGACAAGCAGAAATCTGGTGAAAGCACCTCATCCTACTGGTACAGTCTTTTTTAAGACAGAAGGTTTGAGACATTACAAGACTGAATGGATGAACGACAACTTCGGCAGCTGCAGTACGACAGTATCTGACCTTCACGTTAGCCAAATGTCAATGTGTTTGTTTACCACCATCGGGAAAAACATTTGTCATTCAATTGGCCTTTAAAGTCCCATGTTCAGCAGGTTCATCATTGATTTTGTTGTTTCTCTTGCTTGTAATTGCATCTTGAAGTCAACACACAGCTAAACATCCCTCCGGTCTGTTTACAGGATTCTCCTCGTGGCTGTCGCTATCTTCTCGTTGTATTCTGTCCACTTGCTGCTGAAGACGGCCAACGAAGGAGGTGAGCCCGTCAGAGTTGTGTGCGTCCAAACTTCCCCAATACTTCCTAACGTAGCTGTCAAATTCTAAACCTACAATTCTTTCTTTGTCTTTAAAGGTGCTCTGGTTTATGAGCAGCTGGGTTACAAAGCCTTCGGGATACCTGGAAAACTGGCAGCCTCCTGCTCCATCACCATGCAGAACATCGGAGGTGAGAGGCTGATGCATTCTCACTTTTTTATTTGGCTTATGCAACTATATTTGAACTAGTCTTCTATATTTATCCACCATGTGCTTATTCGAGGAGCTCAAACACTGTTGCTCTGTGTTTAAACTGAGAGCTTGAGGGAGGGAATGCAAATCCTGTCTGATGGAAAGCAGCCTGTGTTTTTGGAACATCGAGTAGCTTCCAGTAAAAACTTGAGTCATTCTACAAGCATGTGTGAAACTCTCAGCCCCTCACCAAATATTAGCCAGAACTATTTCTGCAGCGGCGTCTTCTGCATGAATGTGACTTGGCTTATTTTACAGTAAAGTGTACTAACTGCAGTCGTTTTTGTCCCAACAGCCATGTCAAGCTACCTCTACATCGTCAAGTACGAGCTGCCCCTCGTCATTCGAGCTTTTACGGGAACCGAAAATGGGTGAGTTACTCAGTATTTTAGTAGCTTTCAAACACCTGCACGTCGGAAACAAACGCGTGTCTGTGCAGTTGCAGCGCCGTAAAGTTAAAATGGCTGATCTGAGTGTCTTTAAAGGCACCACGTGGAGTTCTCCTGTAAACAAACAAAAGGTTGTGTTTACAAAATGGTGGCCCGCTCGCAAAAACATTGCTCCACAGCACTCCTAGTGGTCAAAAACAGTACGGAGTAGCTTTAATGTTCAGGATGGATCATGTCGGGCTTTACAGTATCAGTACTAGTTGTTTTTATTTAGAATTTAAAAAAAACAAGCATATTAACATGAAAATCATTGAAAAATCTGTTTTAAAAATCTTGCTTTATCTTGGTAGAAATTAGGGTTAATAAATAATTTAGTAAAACTAATAACATTGGTGACAGAATAACTCATCAAATTACATTTTATGAACTCATGATACGGTTCTGAAAAACGTCAAACTGAAGAAATAAGAGACGAGATAAGCTTTAAACTATTTATCAAGCAGCCATAGATGTAAACAAAATGTCACTGCAGACGAGTTAAATCCCAGAATGAGCGTTTCCAAGCTGAGCCGAGACTCCAGATAATGTGAGATTTGTGCAGCTCGGTCTGTAGCTGAGGTGTAGAACAGAGGAGGAATAGCTGGCAGCGGCACTCGAGGAAGTCGCGCATCAAGCAAAATGGCTGCCAGTTGTTTTTCAAGTGCTGAGTGTGAAAGAAGGTGAAGCAGCGTCTTTGTGCTGCTGTTTGAGCAGAGGAGGAATAGAGGCTGTGTGTGTAGGAAGGTGTCTGGACGGCTTAAAGGGACGGACAGTCCTCAGTCTCTGTGTTCCGCCCTTCAAAGAGCCCTTTTAGAGGATGCAGCCGGTGCCGCATCGAGACGGAGCGCGGGATGAGCTCACTGCGACCCCGCTTCAAGTTTAAAAAATTGATGTGGCTCGGCTCCTCACTGCTGCTTTGTTACATCTATTTCTGTGGGCGATGCAGTCATCCTGCGCAGGCCGGACCGTGTCAGCTGACATGCAGATGTTGGCGAAGCTTCGGCTTTGACAAGACGTGTCCAAGCAGCGGCCGAGACGTTTGATCGGGTCTGAAGCTTTTGGGGGGAGTAAAGGAAGGTTCTGACAGACGAGTGGATTGAATGTGATGTTTTCAGCGCTGGGCTTTCAGTTTCTGAGCTAATTAGTTTACTGGTGGTGCTGATTAATCAGTTTGGAGAACGACGGCTGTCTGTGGGATCAAAGCAATCTGAAGTCTGAAATAGGCTGACAGGAAATAAAAAATAAATGTTAACTTTTCAACCGCTGACACGACTAACATTAAAAAGCATGCATTATGTAATATATTATTATAATACAGTTGTACACTTTGACGCTTTGAAGTTGTTTTATACTTAAAATTACATGAAGATGAAGGAAAATGTGACATTTTATATATAACATTGTAAAAAATAAAGTGGATATAAAAGGAAAAATGCACAAATTGAAGCAAGCTAATGATGCAACTCATAAATAATCATTTTGTACTGCAAGCTACAAGACACACAGAAGGTTTTTGACAGAGACTGAGTAATCCTCTGTGATGAGTCATTGAAAACTTTAATACGTTATGTTCTGAAAACAGTCATAAATCTGACATGTCCTGTGTTGTGTTTCAGAGAATGGTACACTAACGGAGACTACCTGGTGCTGCTGGTGACGATTGCCATCATCCTGCCCCTCTCACTTCTCAGGAACTTGGGTAAGAAGTGTGATTAGATCAGACGCATTTCGACACAGGGTTCAGGTTGGGAGGCGGTGACGCTCTTGTGCGCCGTGCAAGACTTTAAAAATCCCTAAAATGTTCACAGCTTAGAGTGAAGTGATAAAAGTGGGGAAAAAAGGAGCATTCCACAGCTGTAGAACAGAAATAGCTCACAGCTCATGTTTGTGTTTTGCTTCCCCCTCCTCCTCAGGTTACCTTGGTTACACCAGTGGTCTGTCCCTGCTCTGCATGGTGTTCTTTCTGATTGTGGTGAGTATGACCCAACTGGCTTCCTCATTCCACAGCGTGTTGCTCTTGGCACATGAGCGAGCGTTCTGTGCCGCATGGGTCTTCGTCAGAGCATGATTTAGTTTTCCCATGAACTCCCCTCCCTTCCACTGAAGGCAGCAGGAATCTTTAGTTGGGAGATGCAAGCAGACGTGATAAAACAAATAGTCAGGCTTCCTTGGAATTGTTGTGCCCAATGATCATTTGCATGTGGTTTCAACAACCTCATCACAACAACAGAAACAAATCCAAACACCTACTGGGTGTCAGCTCAAATACACCAGATGATGTAACATTATAATGTCACTACAGGCCCTCGTAGATGCTGCATTTAACTGGTTTTTAAAGTCCAACTGTAAACCTAAAACTCGCCCTCTGATCTTCCAGGTGATCATCAAGAAGTTCCAGATTTCTTGCCCCCTGCCTGTTGACATGGAGGCTATGAATGAAACCCTCGGCAGAATACTGAACGGCACTTCGCCTGACCTCAACTCCTCCGCTGTGGACTACAGCGAAGACGCCTGCAGGCCCAAATACTTTGTCTTCAACTCACAGGTAAGAACCCTCTGAGATGCTGCACATCTGGACAACTAAACTAAAACTAGTGGAATCATTTTTAATTTTAAATTTTAAACGCCTCCTTCTGTTTTTCCAGACTGTCTACGCTGTTCCCATCTTGACCTTCGCCTTCGTGTGCCACCCCGCCATCCTGCCCATGTACGAGGAGCTCAAAGAGTGAGTGCTTTCCTTCATAATCCTACAAACCACAGCTGTTTTATTTCTTTGTCTTTATGATTGATTTTGGTGTGGCGTCTAACTGGAACGTCCTCTTCCCTCTGTCCTGAACAGCCGTTCCCGCAGAAAGATGCAGGGTGTTGCTAACGTGTCCTTCCTGGCCATGTTCATCATGTACCTGCTGGCTGCCCTCTTTGGATACCTGACCTTCAACTGTAAGTATGCTGATAGTTGCTGGAATTATTTTAATGATATCTTTAGTTTTGTCGTAATGCCCAACAGCGTGGGTTACTACCAGTCATTGCCTGCATGTTAAATATAACAGGGGATCAATCGTCCAAGGTTGACCGGAGGCGCTTCCAGGCCTAAACAAATAGCGAGGGCTGAGGCCCCTTATGTAAGAGTGTGAAAAAACACACACCTGATGCAGCTGACCAGTGTTCCTGTTTATCATGGAACTGGAACATTTGAGAAACGAGACAGCAATGTTCCTGGAACGTCACTCATAGTTGCACAAGAGCGCGATAGTGAGCGGAAACTAACTGAACCATCACGACCGGCAAAACCTGCCTGAGTGTCGCCCACAGTCGGAGCAGGGGGGACGCCGGGGTTGTGAAATCTCACCTGCTGTGGGCTCACAAAGTTCAGCCTCATCAGGACGGTGAAGCTTTACCAAACAAACTAGTATCTCCCTGAAACTATTTGAATCTTTTCTTATTTTTGAAATTACTGTTTGCTAATTAACTAACAAAATAATTCGTACAAAAACTAGCCACAGCTTAACCATTTCTTAAGCTAAGCTAGCTAGCTGCTGGCTCCAGCTTTATCGCGAACAAACACGAAAAGCGAATTTGTTTTTGTGCTAATGTACCTCCCTTAAATACAAGATGTTAGCATCTTTTTAAACGCTGACAAGATGATGGTTAGCAGGTGGCATGTTTAGCATAGCTGCTATCATCGTCCAACATGCTAATATTTGCTAATTAGCTCCTAACACTAAGTACAGGAAACGGTCAAATCAAGGCCCCACGTGTTTCTTTTCACAAGACAATGAGCTTCGAAAGGAAACGCTAGATGCTCGGCCCGTCTCTTGCTTCTACAGACATGACACCTGTTTAATGTCAGCTGTACTTTACCCTGACGTTGTTCCTTCTAAATCTAAATCTGTTCTGTTCCTCCTCAGCCCACGTTGGCCCTGAGCTGCTGCACACCTACTCCAGGTACTACAAGTTCGATGTGCTTCTGCTGATCGTCCGTCTGGCCGTGCTGACCGCCGTCACCCTCACCGTCCCCGTGGTGCTCTTCCCCGTAAGTGTCCAACAAGAAACGTCACTCAGGCGATTGGTCAGTAGAAATAATGACAGTTCATGTAGGATAATCTCCATCTTTCTCCGTCTCTCTGCAGATTCGTACCTCCGTCAACCACCTCCTGTGCCCCACTAAGGACTTCAGTTGGATCCGCCACACTGTCATCACTGTGGTCCTGCTGGCTGGAACCAACGCCCTGGTCATCCTGGTCCCCACCATCAGGGACATCTTTGGCTTCATTGGTGAGTATCGACCAGTGTTAATGTGCGGCGGTGTCATAAAGAGGCCGACCTAAAGACACCCTTGGGACTAAAATGCGACATTTCTTGTCTCCATCAGGCGCTTCTGCTGCTGCCATGCTCATCTTCATCCTGCCCTCCGCTTTCTACATCAAGCTGGTCAAGAAGGAGCCCATGAAGTCTGTGCAAAAGATTGGGGTAAGGCGAAGCTCCGGAGCGTCATACTTCCTGAGATTTAGATACCTCCATGCCTGTGCAGTAGACATGTAGCTGTAGACATGAGCCGGTCATCTTAGTTTAATCGAAGCTAATTAGCTGCTGCAGCTTTATACAGAACAGCCAAACATTAGAGTGGAAGTGATCTCGCCACGTAACTGTAAGAACAAAAGTAAATATTCAGCAAACAGTTAAACTTTCCATTTTCTAACTGTGTAATTGTTTTCCTCTCTCCAGGCCACCCTCTTCCTGATATGCGGCTTCATCGTCATGATCGGCAGCATGACCCTCATCATCCTGGACTGGATCCACAACGCCTTACCCAGCCCGGTCACGAAGGCCGACGGACACTAAAGCTCCAGCTCTCCTGCTGCGTCCTGCCGGAGGAGAGGAGGCTCTCCGCGCCGGGCTGCTACGACCGCGCAACCAAGATCGAAACGCATTGTAACAAAGAAAAACACAAGAACTCACTTAATGCTCGGCTTCGACTTCCCGAGCTACAGACCATGCCATTCCAAGAGAATGTATCTGAACTTTGTACAGTATGCTGTTATAGACCACAAAGATGGTGTTTCGTTTTTTTCTCTTTTTAATTGTAACTTTTTTTCATTGTCGTTTTTTCTCGTTTTTACTCTTCGTGTTTTTTTTTTTTTTGTAGTTACGGTACAGCTGAAAACAAATATTTGAACACGCCTCACACCAGAGATGACATAGTGGTAGAGTCCAAAATGCAGCTTACGCTCAGGTACAGTGTTGTGTGTGTGTGGCTGTGACCTCCGAGCTCAGCAACAACGGATCTCCTGAAGACTGACAAGAGGCAACAGACTTGAAAGTTTATCCTCCTCAATGACGGTTAAGTTCCTTCCAACAGTTGTTTTTAATTTTTTATTATTTTTCCGTTTTTTTTTGTGTTTTTTTTTACTTTGCCAAAAATGTATTTGTAAAGCATCTTTGTATATTGAAAAGCACTTACAGCTAGCACACTTGTCAGTTTCACGGGTGAGGCCTACAACACCGCCTATTCAGTATTCGTACCAAGGCTCTGTGACCTCGCTTATAGTGTCAGCTTTCCTTGTAAAACCGTGCATCAGTCTACAGAACCTGCCTTTTCCAACCCGACACTTGGGATGCACAGTATCTCACGCCGGGACTTTTCTCAAACTGTATGTACTCTTTATAACCTGCTGAAGATCTTGATGGAACAGCGTGCGCAGCGACGACACTACTGCTTGGAGAAGGCCGACGAGCCTCCCGGTTCCGCCTCCCCTCTCAGGGGCGGGGGAAACGTAACATTTTTTCTTTATGGGAGAATACTTTGAATTTGACCACGTGCTGTGGTTGTAATATACCTGTTAAACTTGCAAAAACAAAAAAGAAGAAAAAAAAAAAAGAAGCTAGAAGAAGTCCGGTGTGCTCCTAAACGCCGACAACCAAACGACGACACAGAAAGCTGAGGGTGTTACAATACTTTGAGTGGTTTTACATATGGTTGCACAGGTTAGTGCTTTCAAAATGTTTCACAATGAAGAACACAAGAGCTCTGTTACGAGCCTGTCATCAGACGGTGCACTGTGCTTCCAACACTAACGCATCACCAAACTGTTATTGTCCAACATCTATTTATGGAAGACCGTGAAATCAATGTAATTTAATCTATTTTACTATATTTATATAATATTGTATGTATATATATATGTATATATATATCTATTGAGTTCAACTGTATATACGCTTTGTTTTGTTTGAATTTTTTTTTTTTTACAATAATGCATTGGAGCTGTAAAACAAAAAAAAAAAAACCCAGAAGTGGTGAATTTGTGATACTGAACGGGTTCCGATACACTGGAGCTACTTCAGCGGTTCACCTTTGTTACGACTGACTGAACAGTCCTGCTGTGCTGATTCTGTATAGAAAACTGTGTTCGGCGTGGAAGCCACTGATACAGCAGCAGGAGCAGGAGGCTCTGTTTTTGTTTGTTTTTCTTTTTAGCCCCCTGAACACAAACTTGGATCAGCATCATGTTCTTTCCGCACATGTCGGTTGGAGAGTACGTCAACCATCTCTTGACCTCAGGAGCAAAGAGGGCTTTGCCCGTCAGTGTTACACTCTTGTTTCAATGAAACACTATGTATATCCTGTAATTAATGTCCAATTAAAATCAAAGATAACATATAACTTGGCCTGTTGGTGCTCTTTGTGTCCTGTGTCTTTGTGTCTTTGAAATGTGGTTTGTGGGGACCGGCAGGTGAAAGGGTTCTGGTCTGAGTCCATGTTGATCAAGCTGAAGGACTTCTGAACATCTGATTGAATGGTTTTGGGAATGATGGTCGAATAAGGCCACTAGGGGGCGCCAATTATTACAGCAGTTATTTAATTTGAATAAAAGTATTAACAGAACATTTTTAAAGCAAAATGACAAAAACATAAAAATCTCCAATGACATGTCAGGATTTTTTTTCAATGAAAATAATCCCTTTCTGCTTCAAAATGGCTTCGACGCAACCATAAACCAATGCGTCCTTTAAGATTTATGACACTTTTGAAGACAAACTCCGACCGTACGGCTTTAGTTTACTGTTAACACTTATGATTGAACACAAACCTGGATCAGCATCCTGTGATTAATGTCCTGGTAAAATCATAGTTAAACCACAGCATGACTGGTGTTTTCTGAAGTGTGTGTCAGACTGTTTTGTCTCAGTGAAGTTTGTGATTTTGGTTTATGAGGACACAGAGCTAAAAAATCCTAATATCCTGTGTGATATTGAATTGCTGTGACTTTCACAAATGGAGGACATAATTATGGGTCAGATTCATTCAAGAGAATATTAGAATCATGAAGCATGAAATGTGTTGAACTGTCTTTTCTCTTTATAACAGTGCCCCCTAGTGGTCATGAGAGGACACTCCACAGCTGGAAGTCTGACTTCACGCCCCACAGATCAGATATTGAGCTCAGACTGTCACAACCATCAGCGACTGATAAAAGATCCTGAGTAGCTAACATTCTACTTCAACGTGCACAAGCCGGGGTGATTTACTTTGACCAGTTTTTGGTGCAGCTTCTTACATTCGAGCATCATGTAACTGAGCTCAAAAGTTAGTTACGGAGCTTCAAAAGTCATACTGGCTATAAAAAAAGGACCTTTCAGTGATTTCTTTTCAAGGAGCATTGTGTCAGATTCAGTGGCATCTAGCATGGAAGCAGTAGATGGTAACCAACCAGTTAGCCTTCAACTCAAATCACCTTTCAAGAGTGTACGAGAACCTAAACTGGCTGCTGCAGACACAAGATCAGCATCAATATTTGGTTTAATCCATTCTTGGCAACTACAGAGACAGCATGATGCATCATGGGAGACTGCTTGAAAAGGACTTGCTCCCTGTAAACATACAAAGTACTTATTGTAAGCCTTCGGAAGCAGAAACAATTGTGGGTGATTAAACACTATGAATGCTGTAGTCCATTTCTGAATCCTCCACATTGGACCTTTAACTACGTCTTTGTTCGACGTTACTTTTCTGCTGCTTTATAAACACATGAGCTCCCATGGGAAACCTGCACGACTGATTAAACTGTTATTGATGAGACAGTTTTGGTGACATTAACAATGACTCCAGTTCAGTGTCCCAGTGAGCACAACATGCACGATACCAGGACTCAAAAACTGAATTAGCTAAGTGGAATTTCGCCAACATTAACTCACTTTTTTTTAATATATATATACCTGTGCTTTACCTATTGCAACATATCAATGTGTTTTCAGTGACCCAGTTACATCAGATCACAGCGCTGCATCCAACATCAACACAAGAACCTGAGAGACAGATTGACTGAAAACAGCTGTGTGGGTGTACAGGGACTTTAATCATCGCTGCCCAACAGTCAGGCTTCCATCCAAATGGAATGCACACATAACCCCATTCTCAAACAGAATCAGCAAAACAAAATGCTAAGTACTGCATGTTTCCGCTCCCATTTACATACACATGAAAACTGCGCCCACCTAGTGGCTCGAGGCTGGAAGTGCACCTGATGTGTCCTTAAAGAGCCCATAGTATGCTTCATGGGGGGGGTTCCCTTTCCTTTTAGTGTGCTCCAGCTTCTCTGCGCATTTAAAAGGTCTGCAGACTTACAAAGCCTCAAGTCCACACCAAAGGGACTTCCTTAGAAACCACTGCTCCTACCAGCCTGAAACACCTCAGGTGAAGTCCAGGCTTTGCTTTCATTCCTTATCATCGTGTAACAAATATGCATAAGCGGCTAGTTTAGCAAACACTTAAAGAACGAGTAGCTTCCTTGCAACTCTCGAGTCTCTGCCTTTCTACTCAGAGATGCTGGTTTACCGCATATAACCAACGTTATCTTGCTTTCGTCAGAGGACTGAGCTTTTCATGAGGGGGGACCTTAAAGATGAAGGAACTGAAACGAAGCATTCCAGACAGAGGGTGAGAGGAGATGCTACAACAATATACAAGAAAAAATATGCCTTTTAAATATTAAAGCATGTAAACATATTCTAGTTGAGCCCCCCCCAAAAAAATCATAAACCTGTAAATGTGTGTAAAATGGGGCTCTTTAATGTGTTGGTTGATATGGAGACAGGAGTGCACCCTGAGAGGAAGTCCTTCATGCGACGCCTCGGACAAACACACAGAGCACAGTAGGAAGCAGCTAATTTATTTCACTACTCTCTGGATACTTTGCACAGTTCATGTTCACGCATTGACATTTATTACACATTCAGGCAGGGGGTGGGGTCAATTTCACCTGAACTATCCCCCCCAGGACCCTCGCTTTACATTATACACTCACTGTTGATTGGTCATTGGACCCGAAGTGGGATGACTCGCCGGATGCCAGGCCGTCACTGGGCCACAGGGTTTCATAAAGGCAATGCACTGTGTTTTTTTTTAAACTAGGCTCTCATCTGAAATATTATATAATATTTGAAAAGAACATTGACATTTTTTTCAATTAATAAGCTAGGCGGTCAGGATGCCGTAGAAGTGAAATTCATTGTACCAGCCGACACCCTGGGAGAGGCGCTCCACTACATGAGCTGGCGTCGTCCACTGAGCGTTGCATCAACCGTCCCACCCCCCTACGCTACCCTGCGTTCTTTACAGTAGTTCCCAAGTCACATGATCTATGCAAAATAAAGGGCTCTTGCATTACAATTTCTGATTGGGTCATTCTTTTCTAACAAAATATGAAAATCTATAGAAAAAAATCTTCATCATTCAATAAAAGGTAGAGATATCAAAAAAGAAAACGTTGGCTCTCCGTCGTCTTTCAGCTCGGAGGCCGAATTCCAGCTAGAGGAAATTGCACTTGAGCAGCTGAATGGGTCTGTGAGGGCATCGCCAGCCCAGCAGCAGGGCGGCAGTTCATTTCTTGCGGGCGTGTTTGTATTTGTCCACGTAGGCCTTGACCAGGTTGGCCACCTTGCTGGAGTTCACCTCACCACTCTTGCTGTGACACACCTGAAGGAGAAAGGTCAAAGAAAAGCATCACATTTACTGCAAATATTAGCTGCTCGCTAGGAAACATGTTAATTAAAAATTCGAATCAAAACCATAAGAGCATAAGCATGAAACACTGAATTAAACAGTGTGTCTGCTTTTATTGTCAGCTGCAGTTACTACGGTTAACAGACTCAGGCTAAGGCAGGGCTTCAGACTCAGCTTTCCACTGGTAGTGCTGCTGCTACCAACTTTAATTAGTTGGGTGCATTACCACATGATTTGGTAGTAATGCCCCACCCCACTATTTGTTACAACAGGGTATTAATTAACCTTGCTCACCAAAGAATAGTTGTCTTCACATAAACTGATTTAAAGGTGAACTAACTCAAGACTTGATACCAACAAAATATTTAAGTTCAAAAACATATTCGTTTTGTGACCAGTCCTTTTCCTGAAGTGGTCTGACATCACTCCTATTGCCTGGACGCAGGCTAAACTACTCACTGTCTGAACAGTTTAGTGATGCAGTCTGCGGGCGATGCTAGCCAGGTGGCTGCAGTGCTGCACACAGAGAAGTCTTTAATCTTCATTCAGTTACTGCAGCTCAGCAACTCAGACGGGTGTGAGACCAAAAACTGGTTTTAAAAAAAGCATTCCAGTTTCCTATAAGCAGAGCGTGTTAATGTTGCACTACTTTCAATCTACAAAGCTAGCGCACATACAGTGGTGTGAAAAAGTATTTGCCCCCTTCCTGGCGAATTGTATTTTTGCGTATTTCTCACACTTACATGTTCCACATGATCAAACTAATATTTAGGTTTATTTAATGTTAGACAGAGACAACCCACAAAACACAAAATGTAACTTTTAGTTGATGATTTGTTGAAAACTGGTATCCCCCCTAAACCTAATAACTGGTTGGGCCCTTGGCAGCAGCAACTGTAGTTAAATGTTTCAGGTGATGAACTGATGTGTGGATGTTCTCCAGGAGGACTTTCTGATAGAGAGCAGAATTCATGGCTCCACCAGTTATGACAAGTCGTCCAGGTCCCGTGGAAGCAGAGCAGCCTCAATCCATCACCGGACCACCACCAGGTTTCACTCCTCGCATCATGTTCTTCTTGTTGAATGCAGCATTAGCTTTATTCCAGATTTAATGGGGCCCACATCTTCCCAAAGTTCCACCTTTAAATCGTCAGTCAATGGAATGTTATCCCAAAAGTCTTGGGGCTCATCCAGATTTCTTTTTGCAAATGCCAAACAAGCCTTGATGTCGTTTTGGTCAGGAGTGGTTTGTGTTTTGCAGCTCTCCCATCGATGCCGTTGTTGCCCCGTGTCTTATTATGGAATCATGTACACTGACCTTAACTGAGGCAAAGGAGGCCTGCAGTTGTTTTGATGTTCATCTTGGTTCTTTCGTGACCTCCTGGATGAGATGCTGACATGCTCGTCTCTTGGAGAAATGTTGGCTGGCTGGCCACTCCTGGGCAGGTTCACCACTGTTCTCTCGCTGTGGTTGTCTGGAGTCCCAGAGCCTCAGCAATGGCTTGGTAAAGACTTCCAGACTGATGAATGGCAATGACGGCATCATGTGCTGCTTTTTGAGAACCTTTAGTCTACTTCAGAATGCCAGACAGGTTCTATTTAAGCTGTGTTTAGATTCAACAACCCTCTCAGTAGTATGTGGGTGTGGCTGGTGACACTGAACTACTCACCTGCTGAATGAATTTGGTCATTTGGTAGCTAGGAGGGTAATTACTTTTTCACACAGAGCAAGATGGGGCTGGACAGCATTTTACCCTCAACAAATTAAATCATCATTCAAAACCTGCCCTTTGCGATTTTTTTTTCTTCTTCTTTTAGTTATCTCTGTCTTATATTAAAACTAGTTTGATAATATGAAAGAGTTAAGTGTCACAAATTTGCAGGAGGACCAATACTTCTTCACAGCACTGTATGTGTGAACCCAAAACAAGGACCTAATGTTGATGAAGTCTTTCCTGTGTCCTTCTAAATGGTAAATCTGGCACCATTATCAGTGTAAACAACATTGTGCGAGAAAAGAAAGCTTGACAGGCGTAACTACAGTAACTAAAGAGGTGAGAGTGGTTTAGCAGCCAGTCATTAGTCAGACAGTGTAACAGTGAGTGTTTACCTTTTCTACTGCCTTGCGGACAATCTCCTTGTACTCCTCCTTTGTGATTTCCTTCTTTTGGTAAAATGGTTTGATGGCTGTCTTCACTTCATTTATAGCTTTCTCTTGGATCTGTTGTTTCTGGAGCACAAACAGGAGATCAGATTGATTAAAGACAACATACTGTGGCTATTCTTTTCTTGTCAGATATATAATGTTTCAGTGGAAGGTGTGCATATTCAACATAGCCAGAGTTTCTAATATTGAAGTAAACGTGTAAAAAATAATAATCCCTCTGAGGAAATAAAGACCAGGCTTCAGATGGCTCTGAATACCGATTGTCCAACAGTTTTCTTTCTGCAACTAGCTGATGTCAGCTCATCACAGATCTATGGCCAATAGTGGATTTTCTCTTTGCAGGGTGGCTGCAGAAAATCAATCAACATTCATGAGTGACGTGCTACCTGACTGACCAGAGAACCAGGATGTGAGGACTGAGATAGGTTTGGGTAAGAATGTCAGTGTGAGCCAATCAGTGACAGAGTAGACTGGGTCATGCCTGTGCCACTCTGCAAAATGAAAATTCGCCTCCAGGCACAGCACGCTTATGAAGTCCAAGCAGTACAGCTGACAAGCACTTGGTGCTGCTTCTCAGCAGCGCTCCAATCTGAAGAAAGTGGGTTTTTAAGAAGGCAGGCCTTCAGGAGCGATAATGGCCAGCTTCAGACAGACCAACTAAAGGGCTGATAAAGAGCTACTATGAGACTAATAAGGATCATTTGGGATGTTAATTAAACAAAGCTCCTCTAGAGTCTCACAATAACAATGCAGAGCTGAAAATTGACAAAATATGTGCCTTTAAGGAAGACCAATAGAAATGGACAGAGAAGCACACACTTGCAGTGACAGTCAGTTAGGTGGCTGCACTTTACCTTTTCTTTTTTGGAGCTGTCGGCCTGAGCCTTGTTATGCTGGCCTGGCTGAGTTGTAGAGGATGGCAGCACGTGGCTGGGTGCCAGCTGGCCCTGGGTCACTGCTGCAACACCTGCTTTGGTTGGCGTGGGAAGCAGGGCAGGTTTCCCATAACCCACCATGGTACTTGCCATCTAGGGCGAAGCAAAATGATGACAAAGACTGTTGGGCTGAACTGCTTTCGGACAGTACTTTGGTATCTCAGCTCCTTATTGCTTAACTTTAGCTTATTTTAATTCTAATGCATCTGGAACTTAATCCAATCACATCCTCTGCAGCCGTCCTGTCTACATCCTGGTGTTCCATACCTGTGTTGTGTGGCCATCGGGCTGAGCTGCTGCTGTCTGGCTGCCTTGCTGCATGGGTGGAGGTGGTGGTGGAGGGGGAGGGAGGCCCTGAGCGCCGACGGCGGGCACCTGAAGCAGTGGCACGGCAGGGTGGAGGTGCATGGGGACCTGAGGAGGCATGGCGTAGGGCGCCGCGGGCTGCAAGCTGACGGGCAGGGTTCCTCGCGGGCCCTGCATGGGGTAGTGGTGAAGAACATTCAGCTGAGGAGGATGAGGAGGAATCATGTTCATCACGGGCACCGGAGCGTTACCCGGGACTGCCGGGGGAGGAGGGTCGCTTTTAGGGGGATCTGTGGAACAAAACGAAGGAGTTGTTAATGAAAGTTTGTCATTCTGTGAGAGTCAAAGGACTCTGCAGTCAATGTAAAGTAGTGCATATTTATATAGGTCCAGTAATATTAAACAAACTGATGAACAATGAACATGTGCAGGAGATAGTTGACAGAAGGTGTTTATAGCACGCGATAAATGGTAGAATCAACCCAGCAGCCTTTTACCGAAAATAGATGCTGGTGGAATGAAACAACTGTGAGACTTTCAAAGGAATAAATTCACTTCAAAGGAATCACTTTTTCCTTTTAGCCTAATAAAGCGCGGGTGCCTCGGGCTAATTTCTGATTTGTTTTCTGTTCACACAGCAACTAAAATTATCCTCCTCTCCCAGCTTTAGAGAGAGAAGTAAAACCAAACACCAGGACTGCTGCTTGTACTTTAGAGGGAAATGTAGCTAATCCATGGCAGGCTTTTCTTCCTTGATTTAATCTGGCAGGTACAGAAGTGGTAACTGTCCAGAGATGTCTGGTTTGTACTGAAAAACTAAAGAGGACTGACCTGCTGCTGTTGGTTGCTGCTCCTCTTCTTGTCGGTTCCAGCTTCCTGGTCCTCCTCTCTCCCTCTTTGAGTAATAGTCCTGGACATCAGCAGGTAGCGTCCTCCTGACAGCCCAGCTGGACGCCGAGGACCAGCCTGAGCGGTCGAGCATAGACTCTCCTGGCTCAGACTCTTTCCTCCGACCACCGCCCCGGTTTTCATTGAAGCGGCTGTACGCGTCGTTCCCTGAATTGTTGCCTGTACCTGAGAAGTTGTTTCTGGGCTGCCAGCGGCTGTCGGACGACTCTTCCTGTTGGTTGTAGAAGCTGCGGTTGCCTCCACCTCTGCCTGCGCCCCGCCCACGTTCAAAGCCTCCGCGGCCGCCCCGGCCTCGTGGCTCTCCTCTGCTCCCTCCACTGTTGCGGCTGTCTTCCCAGCGTGAGCCACCACCGAAGCTAAAGTCCCGGTTCCTGCTCTCAGCATCACCCCGACTTTTTTCAGTGACCCAGTCAGGATTTTCTGACCAGCCCTGGCGCTCAGGAGAACCTTCTGTAGGCACGCCGTTTTCAAAGCGGCCACCGCCTCCATATCTCCGTCCATCACCCCCAGAACCAGAACCAGCACCAGACCCAGACCTCCAGCCGCCCCTACGCTCCTTCCTCTGAGGAGACTGCTCTCTGGACACTGGTCGCTCGGGGCTGGGGCCTCGTCTGTAGGACCTAGTTCTGGATCGAGATCTAGACCGAGACCGGGATCTGGATCTAGAACGACTCCTTGATCGCCGCCTCCTCCTCTCCCGACTACGGTCCCTCCTAGAATAGTCTCTCTCGTTGTCCCGATCCCTGTCTCTTTCTCTTTCTCTGCTGCGAGCTCGTGAGGAGCGACTCGACGGTGGGCTGCCATCACGGTCTCTGGACCGTGAGCGCGAGCGCCTGGATGATTCCCGCCTAGAGTCCCGTTTGGGTGACCAGGTGGAGGTTGGGGAGTGGAAGCGAGAGCGCCTCTGCTTGTCGTTCTTCCTCTCTTGGCTCTTTTCTCTGTCCTGCTGGTCTTTGGCGCTCTCATCCTTGGTGACTTGACTTTCAGAAGGTGTAGCCAGAGGTTGTGCAGCAGCCTGAGAAGCACTCTCACTCTGAAGTTCCAAAATGGGATCGTTCCCATGCTCACTCATGGGTGAACTGCAGTCCATGGGGATGACGTTTGTGTCGTCCTTGGATGCTCCATCGTCCCTGGCTCCTTCCCCACAGCTGTCAGCTTCTGAATGCTCTTCTGAGTCATGCATTTTTGAATCAGTGTCCTCTGAAACTTTTGCCTCCGGGTCTGCTACATTTTCTTCAGACTCTCCAGCAGAGGGGGACCCGGGCTGTGCCACATTCTCACATGATTCGGCTTCTGGCTCCTTTGAAGATTCTTCATCGTTGGTTTCTTCTGACTCTGCACAAATCTCCATGTTGTCATGCTGCTCTGCCTGCTCGTCACACTGTGGAGACATCAGGTCTTCCAGCAGTGTGTTGGGAGACTCAGAGGGTGATGGTGACCCCATTTTCTCAGAATCCTTTTCTCCACAGGACACTGGGCTGTCTGGTTCTTCTTCCTCTCTTTTGCTCTGGACATCCTCAGAGCACAAAGCAGGGCTGTTAGAAGCCGAGTCTGACGGACAGGAGAGGTCATTGTCTTCTTCATCCTCTTTCTCTTCTTGTTTGTGTTCGTTAGATTGTTCCTGAGTCTCATCACTGTCCAGATCCACATTGTTCAAAGACCCTGCAGTTCCTTGATCATCAGCAGAGTCAACACCATCCTGCTCTTCTTTGAGGTCACCTTCAGCATCAGACAGCAGCGGTTCCGAGTTGTTCACATCCTGCTCTTGTTCAGTTTTATCTTCCTCTTCCTCCTTCTCCTTGTTGTCACTTCCTTCACCCTCTTCCTCCTCGTCGGTTGCTGCTGGGCTGTTAATGACTTCAGCAGTGCGTTTTTTTCTAGCGGAGGCTTTCCGTTTCCCACTGGCCTTCCGGTTTGTTACCCGTTTCCCCTTCCTCTTGGCTGGCACCTGAGAAGCCTTGCCAGGCTTGGTGGACTGGCTGGCAGATGAGTCAGAGTCTGACACACTGGACTGTGGTGGTGATGAAGGTTCAGCTGCAGGAGCCTCTTCCTGGGTTTTACTGTTGCGTCCAGATCGTCTGGCTGGCAGAGACTCTGCCTCTTTGGAGGGAGCTTTGGAGGTTGAAGCTCGGCCGCCTCTCTTCTCTCCTCCTTTGGGACACGTGATGGCGCAGACAACACCCTGAAACACTGCAGGAGAGAAACAAATGGTTGTGAACACAACCAGTAAGTTCCTGAGAATCTCAACACATACAGCAGGGCTTCCACACACAAAGTGAAAGTGTGACACTGTATGGAACAAGGCCACTGGCAAGCCACAACATCACTGTGTGGTGGATACATTAAGCATGTTCTCTGCCAGTCTTACCAATGTGGGCATCGTTTAAATTATCACACCAACTAAAATGTAATACTTCAGATCCTGTTGCAATTGAACCCTGGGTTTCATCTACAATGTCATAGTTTAGTAATTGCAACACTGACATCTGTTGTTAGAAAAGTTTAATTTTTAGGATTTTTGCCTTTATTTGACTTTACAAAGTAGACGAAAAGCAAATGTTAGGAGAGAGACTTTGCTACAAAGGGAATTTTACCCATAAGGTATGTGCTCCAATCACACATTCATCTGAGTTCCTTCTTTTATTTTACATTTTGTTTTATTTTGGAAATTTTACATTGAATATCAGTAGTACTAGTACAAAATAACAAATTTCTGGTATCATGACATCCCGAGTGCTTATGTTTCAGGACTATTTCCGCATGGAGGAACTTTTTGCTCCTCATAAAGTGATTTTAGGAAAATCACCAGCACAACAATGATAAGAACTGAAAATGCATTTTTATATTTAAACTAGTTACGTTAACTATGGTTGCATTTACTCAAGTATAATAGACACTCATGTTAATTACATTGATAGAAACAACAGGAAAAGCAAAAAACCACAAGCAAAAAAAGGTGTCATGGACTGAATGCCTTTGCTGACCATGACTGATCATACAGCAGTGAGGAATGATCCTACAAAGGTCCATTCTGAACTAGAAATATACGCAAATTACGATTTCAAGGTATGAATGTAAAAAATCCTGTGTGTACATCAGTGTGACTCACTGATCAACAAGTGTTGTACATGGTTTTGCTAAACTCCAATCCTATGTCTTTCTTGTTCGTTGGGAGAAAAAGTTTAATTCTGTAACATCGCCATTCTATCCCGTTGGACTTTTTCTGTTCTTCCAACTCCAGCGTCCTGATGTCTTCTCTAACTGATCGTTTCCCATCAGTTCCAGCAGCCATAACTTCCTACTTAAAAGTTAATTCATATTGTATGGATAATATAAGCCGACCAGTTTAATAGTTTTGATCCAGGAGCTCTGTTATTGACATGATTAATAATAACCTCTCTTCTGTGTCTAAATGACTTTATATCATTAGAGCACTTCTACCAAGATCTGGACTTGTTTTTCCAAAAAACAGAAACAATTGATTTCATACGAGGAAACTGAAAAATGAAGAACAAATCTTGGTCCCCAGGTGTAAAAATTAACAATCAAACCTTTCAAATGACAAATTAAAAAGAAGAAATGAAACTATTCAGGTACATGTTTAATTACAAAATGTTGTACAAATCTGACCATTTGCCATTATGTTAGTACGAAGAGTCAACACTGTGTCAGATGTAACTTACCAAAATGACTTGGGCCAAACAACGGTGAGCTGGAGGTAAAGGGAGATGAAATGAGTCCAGATGGGCTGCGGTTCCAACTAGCTCTATGGAAGCTTTGCCTGTGAAAGCACAACACAACAGCAAAAGAACTGTTAGGTTTGATTTCGCAGACTGGATTGTTATTACCTTTGTTCCCCATTAGCGTGATATCTGACCACATACTATGGATCCAAAGTCCTGTCTGGATGGATGCTAATTACCATGACCCAAAGACACCAACTGAATATCACAAAACTTTCAGTAACTGTCTCTCATTTAACGGTTGCAATCACAACCACAGTCGGTCTCTTTGGTCTGAACCAACACATGAGCGCTGATGTGTTTTCAGCTCAAGATAACTTGTGTGTACTCCACTAAAAGACTTAATGCTGGTTCAGTCTTCCTGACTGTCATCATGTCAGCTGGGCTTTCCCAATGAGCTTCCAGACTACACACTGTTAACAGAAGGCCTGAGTGTCACATTGAAGGTGTGGAGTCAGAGAGCGTCTAATGACAAAGCTATGAAGATGGGCAAATGCACAGCAGTGGCCGGTTGGACTCTCATTACCTTGAGGTGCCGTTAGCAGGGATGGGAGCAGCAGGAGAGAGCCAAGGACAATGTTGCACCTGGGATTTGCACTGCTGGAATCCAGTGTCATATGGTATGTCCTCTGCCAACCAAGCAGGATCTGCACTGCAGGATGAGAAAACAGTTAATTATGAAGAACTTTCTGGAACAGTTTAAACTAAATCACTTATGCCTCAGCTGTAAACTTATAATCTACACTGATGACATCCTTCCTAAACATTACTCTGCTGCAGATTTATTCTCCCTTCATATGGAGGTGTGATCAAGAAGTTCTGAGACTGCTCCTGTGAAAGGTAAGAGCTAGTCCAGGTTTAAATTCAACCTCTATCCCCTTTGAAGTCCTGTTTAGTGATCACTTGCTGGTGCACATTTAAAATTTCACCATGGATCAAACTATCTATCTCCAACTATCGAAGGAAGCAAATATCAATTGCGATGTTAAACTGACTGCACTCTAACATCGAGGATCATCACTGGAGATGAGAGTTGGGGCTACAACTGCAACCCAGAGACCAAAAAGCAGTCTTGAGCTCAAGTCTCCAAGACCGAAGATGGCGTATCAGGTCAGCAGCGTGACCAAAAGCATGGTTGTTGTTTTGTTCAACATTTACGAGGCTGCACACCGTTAAATTAATTCCCCAGGGTCTGTCAACGCAGAATTTCACGCCAACATCCTGAGGCATGTGAGAGAGAACATTCAAGACAGACGACCTGAACTGGGGCACGTGCCGACGCGCACCTGTTCGCACGGCGCTGACAAACGCACAAGTACCGTGGCTGCACCGACACAATTGTTGCTCCCCATCTGCCCCATTTGGCTCCCTCTGCTGCCATTTGACACAGCGGAGGAGATCCAGCGTCACAGATGGTGCTTGACACAGTGACAGAACAGGGTTCCAGCAGAGGTTCTAGGGAGTGTTCCAAACATGGCAGGAGCACTGGGAGCCACCACTTCAATGGGGATGGCAGTAAAATTTTAATCAGTGTTTTTTGCTTTTTATAGGTCACAGAACTTCTTGATCCTACCTCGTACAATATTTTCTGTAGTGCTCATTTTTAAAAATAAAAACATTTGATAGTATTTTTCACAATTAACAAAAAAACTAATACAAAAAAATAATGTTTCAAAACAAAGTGTAAGAAAAACTAAAAAATTTTTTTATTTTATGTCCAACAAAAACTCTAGTGGCATCTCTGGAATCACAACCTACAGCTCCAGTTCTTCCACTGCCCAAAATATCTCATGTTCAGATTTAGCCGATTTAGCCACTTGACCTCTTCCACATCTTATTTACTACCATTAATAAGGATGTAATGAAGAAATGTTATCTTGTGCGCCGGGTTTTTGGAAGAACCCGATTTTGGAACCAACAAGAATTAAACAAAAAGCAGCAACAGAGACAAACTACGAACATGCAGGTAACAGCCGACATTTACAAACAGGTAAGCTAACATGGCGCTAATAATATTATCCCTCCATCTAAATCGTCCTGTAGATGTGTTGGGCCTCCTGCTAAACCTAGACACTGAACATGCGCTCTGTAATGTGGACGTGGAGCCCTACAAGTCTTATACTGCAGTGTAAATCACAGGAAACACTAACAGAACATCAGTGGATTTCTCATAGTTGATTGTAATGACTTACATGTCCTGTGTTGATGTGGTTAATGAGACACAGGGAGGCGGTGACCAAGTGCAGCACTCTGTTCCTCTCACCTGAACATAACACATCAAACACCAATGAGCTTTACCTGCAGACATGTGGGACGGTGAAACATGACCAAAAAAAGATAAAGCACCTTTTTTCTGCTCAGTGAAGAGGGGTCCTCGTCGTTACCTGCAAAAGACATTTACAGACTGTTAGATCTCAGCGTGAGCAGGTCAGGCAGGTTTCTGGAGAAATCAGGGTTTTAACCTACATTTCCTCACAAGTCCTTTTGTTTTGGCGTCTGCCGTCCGCTCCACCTTTTGCCGCCTCGGTCTTCTCGCGGTTTTGCTTCTGAAAAAAACAACAACTTTAATTGTTCAAGTTGATTTAATAGTTTTATGTTTTTTATGTTTTATATTACTGCATCACTTGGTTTTCTGTGGCGTTTCTGTGATATTTTAAAACAAACTCGTTGGACACTCACTTGAGACAGACTTTTTGTTCAGGGTTTCTACAGCAGCAGCTCTCGGCTTCAGCTTGAGTTGAGCGCTTCCTCACAGGAACCTTAAAACGAGGACAGAAGCACATTTGGTTTTAGTGCAAACACTGTGCCTGACGTAAAGGTTGGCAGAGGCGGTGTGTGTGTTTGTCTGACAGCTGACCTGTTGTACGTTTGGCTGGGACACACACACAC